AATGTATTTTTACAGTTATAACATGGAATCATGATATGAAGCAGAAATAATGGAATTCAAAAAATTTGACAATCGATCCGTATTGTGCTCCCAGTGAATGGCATTGATAATATAAGTGGCAAAGACCAACAAGGTAGGAATATAGAAATTATATAGAATGAAGTGGCTAACCTATCAAATTACACTTACGCAAAATTAAGGAATTCGCTTAATCCCACTATCTTAAAACAATACTGCAATTCACTAATTTGGCGGATGTTTAGTGATGTACCCATTGAGAGATATTCATTATGTAATTAAAATATGAATAATGAACGTCTGGTGATAGACAGTCAAACTCGCAACCAAAATCTTAAAAATTGACCAGTTTGGCAGAAGCTTCACATTCTATTCTCGGAAAGCTTCCCAGTGATATGTAATGCCGTGAGTTGAACGAAACATTAATCAGTGTGATCACATTGTCGTTATGTGCATTCATACTCGCGCCTCAGGACTGCACGTCCACAACACTATCTATCGGCACAAAAATGGCCCGTGCCGAATCGCCCCACTTCGTTGCTCATAGCACCTAGTCATGCATTGGTTTACACGAATTCCCATCGTTTATTTGCAAGCTCTTGATATGGGTTTTTTCTTGGTCTACAAAGCTCATGTGAAATGAATGATGGAACTCCCACAATTACCAGGCAAATATGGATAAGATCTGGTCATATGTGGTTCAGATTTAATAATCTAATTACATGGTTTAATGCCATACCTCTAAACAGAAATTAGCTTAATAAACCCCTACCGTGCCGCGATTTTCAGGAAATGTAAGTTTTACCCTTACAGTTTTGTTTCTGGAAAATCAGTGCTTGGGTTTACGATTTAGGTTTAGTGGTTTTCCAGAGTGCCCATCTTATATGCTATTCAGCAAATTTGCATTTTTGGCCCTTGTTTAGACACAGGGGAACGAACTCGATTAATGTTGAAATTTGGTAAAGAATGGACAGTCCATCAATTACTGTGACAACAGTTTCCGAACGGTGAGTAATTTAGTAATAAGTTAGTTAATAAGGTTAGTGAGTAATTTCTTAAAAGTAAATATGAAAAGTTCATAATTTCATCAAGATTTTAAGTACACATATTGGAGACGATCGAAATGCCAGGTTGCAGACTATTTCACACACCTGAACGAACAACAGCAACGGAGTTTCGAGCACTCGTCACAAACAACGGCAGCAGGCAAACAGAACATTCACCTAGAGCCCATTCTGGTGCTTCCGTTCAGAGTGTAATAGCTGCATGGATCGTTCGGATAGGTAACGTAAGGCTTGGAATCTGCGTCAAACGGGCGAGGAACGTTAGACGGTGAGGTGGCATGCGGATCGGCCGGGTTCATCTTGTTCAACCAGTCGTTATACGAAGTAGGTCGAGGTAGCTTCGAAGGTGATAGGCTTGATTTTTTTGGCGGTTCTCGTTTTTCATTTGCCTCTCGAGAACTTGGAGTAGTGGCTGCCGCATTTGGGTAGTGTCTATTTTCCGAATATACAGGCATCGGATAGCCAACGCGGAATTCTGGGTACAAATTGTAGCCATATTCCGGGGGCATTTTTCTGCAGCTGAAAGGTGGCGGATACTGAACTGCGTAGTTCTTAAAATAAATAAGCGCTATTCCATGAATAGATAAAAGCACTGAAACCAGCAACAACAATGAAGCAATAGTGTGAAATCATACCCACGTACAGTAATCTAATTTAAATTTACGATGACGTTCACAGGTACATATTGTAAGACGATTTGGAAATGAGGAAGCTTTGCATGATTTTTTTGACACTTTTGTGTGCTTCCATCAGGTATCATATTTCCTTCTAAACGTTATCGTGATCTTGTGTACAGAAATTCTGCTTGATTACAAAGAAACAGACTAACATCCGTTACTGTTCTAAGTCACTTTTATTTATCTTGCTGAAAAGAGTGACTCATGATTGGACCTGTGTCTGTTCACTTCTCTTGGAGAAACAACTTGGGTAAACGTGACCAAGATGGTTCAATTAACAGAAGGTCAGATATTCTTGCGCCTTGGAATGCAAATCATCAGTTTATACGATTTACGCAATCCGAGACTATGAAGAAGATCTTTTGAAACCGCTGACCTCCTAATGCAAAACGTAGTAAGCCTTGAAGATGGCTGAATGAACGAACGAATGAACCAAATGATTACTTGATCTGTATCCGCAATTTACGAACATAGTATCTCAGAAATATCCTTAAGCACACGATTTCCGCATAAAAACCTCAGATTACTCTCGGTCGTATTTTATCAAATTATTTAGCAACATTGTTGACTCCTTTGTACCTTCAACAACAACATTCACATTGGGCTTAGTCCATGAAATTATGCGCTCTATAAATACTCGATATTTTGGAGTCATGCTATGATTATCTTCAAGAGCTATATGGCACAACACACTTATCATAGCTAACAATCATAGCTTGAAGATTATATGATTACTACCTCCGTTACTTTGTGAACGGCTCGTGAAGTTAAAGCGTATTCATAGTCATGTTTATAATACAGTTTCATTTAGGTATATTTGGACACAGATCGGTCTGGAACTATCAAGTTAGTTCATTTATTGTTCCCTACCAGATTAATGTTCAATCCACTCAATTGCCTCAGTTTAAGTATTTGTATCCATGTGTAATAAGTGGATCCTTTGCGGTTCGCTAGAGATTGCCGCACATCGTCGATTATTTGGCAGTGAAATGATTAGCTTTCGTGAGGGCACGTGGACAGAGACAGCTCAGTGACTATATAC